GTTTCTTATACATTCGGGCCATTTATAATCCTGTTAATGGTTATATTCAAGGAATGAATGATCTTGTAATGCCATTTATTGTTGTCTTTTTACAGGAAGTCTCAAGTCTGCACATATACCTTTTTTACTATTACATATAAATAAACGTAGTAAAAAAAGTATATACTTTTTATTTTTTATAGTATACTCTTTACTTTTTATATATTTCCCATAAAAGCCTATGGTAAATCGATAATCGGTTAATGAACAATCGGATAATGAACAAAATCTTGAAACGGATTATGTTCATTAACTAATCACCCATTGTATCACTTGTGTTTCTCTTTTTGTATGTTTAAATATCAAGTTAATTTCAAATTACTTCTAATTGGTTTAAACATTTAATCAGTAATAATGGTTTTCTTAAAAATGTAACTGTTATTGAAATTTTAGTTTATTAATATGATTTTAAAATTATAGATCAAACCAACACTAAAAACAAGCTATTATTTAAAAATTATTAATTAGCTAATAATTAATAATTTTATTTTGAAAGATTGAGGTATCTTTGTGTACTATAAAGATACCTTAAAATTGAAAGAAAAAATAAAGAAATTTTGTGTTTTAGTACTTTTGAGTTATGCTCCCATAGATCATGTCATTTTCCATTTTTATGTATTGTGCTCAATCGTTTGCTTAAAAAACAACATTGATAAGTTTGAATGGATGACCAAAATAAATTTTGCATAAATCAAAGATTTAATGAATATTCATTTGTTCATATAGAATATACTAAAAATATTTGAAAACATTCTTATAAAATGAAATAATATATTATAAATAATATAAATAATATGAATAATTTGTTTGATTTGNTAAAAATATTTTAAGTTTTAAAATGCAACTGATTTAAAAAATGAAAATAAAATTTGTATTATTTTCATGTTCTTTTGTCATACAGTTGTTTAAAATTTAATTTTTGATGATTTGTTTATGATGGTGGAAATCTGACAGAAATTATTGCAGCTTGAAATGCTTTTACAATTGATGATGTTTTTTTTTGTCAAATGTGGGCACGTTAATATTTTTACTTTTAATTTAAGTTTCATGAAATTATCATCGGTATTTTCCTTATTCTTCTGCTTTTTAAATTGTGTAAACTTAGATAATATCTGTAATATAGAATATAATTATAACTTTTTGTATAATCATTATTATTTTCAATATCAATCTATATTTTAAACAAAGTAAATTTGAATAACATAATTTTTTGAATGATCTACATTATTATTTGTTAAGTCATATAAAAGAACTTAAAAAGGCAATATAACCTAATTTTTTAACATTTATTTGTATATAATAATATATTACTGATTATTTTAAATTACTTATTTGTTTTATCTAACTTTATTTTTACCTGTATACAAGATATATGTGTATATAATAAATGGTAAGTTTTGTATTATGAATGTTTATTTATTAGTCTTATTTACCGAACTGATTTTGAGAAATTTTGGCAGATGTGGTAGATTTCCATTTATAATTAATTAGTTTTGTAACTAACTTCAGTTCCTTCTTTGATTATTTCATTTTTTTACTTACTTTGATAAATATTTTTTCTGTTAGCTCCAAACTAGTTGTACTGATTTACATTTATGCTTGCTGAACAAATTTCTTTGATCAGTTTTAAGGTACTTTTTGAATTTTCCTAAATTTGATTTATGGAAATGTTCATTTCATTTCATTTTGAGCATAACCTCTGTATCAGTGTATTTTGTGTCTGAATATCCAGCTTATTTTCAGCATATTTTGTTTTAATCTCATCCCTGATAGATGAAAAGTAATTAGATTTAGCAGAAAATAGTATGCCAATTGGTGCATCATACTGTGTAAAATATAATAATGCATTTATAAAAAAAAAGTGAGATTGATATACAAGTATTGTACACAACAATGTAAAGAAGTTTTTTGTGCTAAATGAAAACAAGAAGCTCTTTTACAACTTTTGAATGAAATAGTGTATATTTTTTAACAAATAACCCTTTTTATTAATTACAAAACATAAATTGCAATTATTATTTTTTTAATGTATTTTTAGGCATTTGAACGTTTCTTATACATTCGGGCCATTTATAATCCTGTTAATGGTTATATTCAAGGAATGAATGATCTTGTAATGCCATTTATTGTTGTCTTTTTACAGGAAGTCTCAAGTCTGCACATATACCTTTTTTACTATTACATATAAATAAACGTAGTAAAAAAAGTATATACTTTTTATTTTTTATAGTATACTCTTTACTTTTTATATATTTCCCATAAAAGCCTATGGTAAATCGATAATCGGTTAATGAACAATCGGATAATGAACAAAATCTTGAAACGAATTATGTTCATTAACTAATCACCCATTGTATCACTTGTGTTTCTCTTTTTGTATGTTTAAATATCAAGTTAATTTCAAATTACTTCTAATTGGTTTAAACATTTAATCAGTAATAATGGTTTTCTTAAAAATGTAACTGTTATTGAAATTTTAGTTTATTAATATGATTTTAAAATTATAGATCAAACCAACACTAAAAACAAGCTATTATTTAAAAATTATTAATTAGCTAATAATTAATAATTTTATTTTGAAAGATTGAGGTATCTTTGTGTACTATAAAGATACCTTAAAATTGAAAGAAAAAATAAAGAAATTTTGTGTTTTAGTACTTTTGAGTTATGCTCCCATAGATCATGTCATTTTCCATTTTTATGTATTGTGCTCAATCGTTTGCTTAAAAAACAACATTGATAAGTTTGAATGGATGACCAAAATAAATTTTGCATAAATCAAAGATTTAATGAATATTCATTTGTTCATATAGAATATACTAAAAATATTTGAAAACATTCTTATAAAATGAAATAATATATTATAAATAATATAAATAATATGAATAATTTGTTTGATTTGCAAATTTAGAAATTATTTTAACTTTTTATTCTGTACATGCTAAACTCTTTTTTATCTTATGGATGCAAAGAAATTTCTGTGAATGTAACTTAAACCTGGATTCCTTAGAAAAGCAATTAAAATTTACTTGCTAATCGCTGCGATTTTTATTTGAGATTAAATTAAGCTAGGTATATCATGAAATACTAACAAACAATACTTATTAAAATCACAAAATTTAAATCAGAAACACATCATTAAATCTCGATTGTCATCTTTAGCAGAAAGCTTTAGGTAAAAATTTAAGACTTTTTATATAGATATATTCTCTTCTATTCTGTGCTGTGACGACTGCATGGCCAGAATCCACATGATTTAAAATTGTAAACAGAGTATAGATATAAGAACGTTTATCATTAAAATTTCAAAAATTAGACACGGTTTCGAATTGAACACTAGATTAATTAACCAACGTTAATATCTCTACATGTTACATAGCTTTAAACTTTGTTTAAAGGCCATAGGTAAAGTGACGTACTACTGGGGTTAACTGACATTTTTTCAAGCAAATTATTTGTTAGTGTCGAGATTACTAAAATAATTGTTCTTTTAAACACGCTAGATAATAAAACTACATCAAAACAATTTCGGAAATAAGCAATTATCAAAGAACAAACCTTAAACAGAAAAATAATTTAATTTTTGTACGATTTTATTTTAAAATACACAGGCTTACAAAAGCTTGTTCATGACATGAAAAAAAAATTTCAAAATACAATTATTAGATAAACACTGCTCCTGTGTGCTTATATCTACTATTGCTATTACCAGACGATACCACACTCATTAGAAAAAATAATTAGTAAAATCATCACTTAACATTTGCGGCTGATGACAAACATTTATTTGCCAAACATTAACGTTTTCAGCATAATTTATATCTATGACTCTAATATAGCCGTAATCCATTTTTATTCCTAATTGCTTGTTTATATACGATATCCTGTACACACCAGCATTTTCCTCTTTCTTCATCTTTCATATTTTTCAATATTATGTGAATATTTGACCTATTTTAAAAATTATTGTGTACATGATATGTTGTACCATCTGTTTCATATCGTTCTTCGTGTTCTTATTAAAATATTAAAGAATGACAAGTTGTATGCCTTGTAAGTGAAAGTAATCAATGTTCTAATTTTTAGAAGCAAAAAGCCAGGAAACCATAGATTTATTTTCACGAAAATTATTTTATAGATAAAGTTATAGGCCTACATAGTTAAATGTTTTATAACGTAAAAAACGCGTGAATGTATGACGTTACAATGGATTGAAGTTTCTATTAACATCAGCTGTAACGATTGATCCAGAACATTCAAATAACATAAAAATTTATACATAAGGAAAAGAGGACAGCAGAGAAACAATTAAATTTGAGGAAATAATGTAATTGGCTGTGTTGTTTGTTAATTAAATTACAATGTTATGATAGGACATACAGTGAGTTGAACTAAATGTGTAGTTTTATGAATCTTGCATAAAAATTGACACGTTGCATATCTGTGCTATTCAGGCAATTACGGAGAGAAACTACAATCTCCTCGGTCTCAGTTTTGCTCTATCACTTAAATAAACTATAATTGGATAAGAGATTTGCAAGTAAATGTTATATTATTACATACGACCGTATCGCAGTAAGATTCTTAAATTGCACACGAGAAGCAAATGCATTAATACAAAACAGGGAGAAAAATTTTCTTTTTATAGTTCCAAATATAATATCTAAACTATTTCCAGAATTTCGTATATGCAATCAACTCCTTTGCATAAATAAATATCCATTCAATTTGCCATTACCATCATGAAAAGGAAATCGGAAAGGTGAGTAACGTTCCACCTGTAACTGATTCCAGTAACCGAATTAAAAAATATATCTTGGCTTAGGGAATGTTAGCATAAGCTCTGTTTCTACGAGATCTAGTTCCTACAAATGTAAAGATAGCATTATATAATACGTAAGCAATACAGCCTTTGAATAGGGCAGATTCTAATAGAAAATAAAGCAACAGTTTTACATTATGTAGTGATAAAATTCAACGAAATTTCGTTATCCTTTGACAACAAAAGCATAAAAACAGGTATTTATTTACTCGCAGTCGACAAAGTTGAGGAATTTCTTTGTTTCGTCTTTTGCCTCATTTGTATATACATCAAAATGTAAGTCGTCAAGCCACTAATAATCTGAAAAATTGAATAAACAAACGTTTACATAAACATTCTCTTATTACAATATATTTATGTATAATGTTATATAAATTAACTAAGATTTCATTCACAGTTATGGTATATTTAAATATCGCTAAGTACAGTACCTTTATTAAAGTGCCATTAGAAACGACAAATATTCCTAAACAACTATAACCAATTCTTGATTTTTTCAGTCTTTCTAACGAAGTGTTAATCTAAAAATATTAAATTTATCGATAAACTCTTGCATTTATATTTTTGTTTGCTGTAATGAAATATTCCTTACTTGAAATATCTGACGTTTCGGAATTCCAAGAACTGAAACTTCACGTAAAATACATTCTAGACGATGAGCCTAAAATGATTGAGACATTAATAAAACTCCGGATAAATGTTTATTGTATAGAACACTTACCTCGGAAGATAGAAGACCAGCTTCTAGTGTAACGACCAGGATAACTACGCAGCAGATTAACATATGAAGATACATAACACTATTGAAATTCGAATATTCTGCAACAAGAATATTACAGAAAAGCAAAAATATTGTAGGAGTAATGATAGAATAAACACAGAAGATGTATAACTGAAAGAATTCATCGGCTGCCTCTATCATCTGTAGACATTTCAAATGGCGTCTCTGCACACTTTTAAGCATATGGATCATTTCTGTGTGATCGAAGAGAATTTCGAATTGCTGATTGGCTTCGATCACTTTTCTTCTTATTATGGCAGTTACAAGCACGTAATAATAAACTGGAATTTGGATTATTACACCTATCAAAATAATATATGTTACGTAAATTACGATGAATATAACATTAAACAATGAATTGTGTTGATATTTTAAATATATTATTTCTTTCTCACTATTGAAAACGGAAACACTCACAACTGCAATGTTAATTGTTAAGGAGATTACGCAAAGGAGAACCCATTCCAGTTTTTTAATGTAAGCATACTCAGAATAAAAAGTAGGATTGATGCAGTGAACAGTTTCAAGCATTAATTGCGTCAAGACATTTTCTAATCTACGTACGGCACCCTTCCTGTTGTAAATCAGTAATGTGAACAGAGCAAAAACTGAAAAATATAACCGTACTATGTTAAAAATTTCTGTATTTATGATGTCAAACAAGTCTTCGTAATTATTAAATTTCTCCATTATGTTAGTTGTTAAGTACAGTGATAACAGGAATATATCGACGGTCACTGCCCATAAAAAACCGATTTTAATACATCTTAATCTATCACCGTCATCACCAATGAGGTAGAGAAATCTCATTACTCTACGAGTATTCTTAATTAAGCATCTGAAACAAACGTAGTTAAGTATTCCCGAATAGTTTGGATGGCATTCGACGCATTGGGTTGTCTGCATTTTTTTTGGTGAATGTTTTAACCGTTAATACAAAATGTTTATTAATGTATTAATCGAACGCAGTAGAAAGAAATACTTATAGATTCAAATTTCCTTGATATTTCAATGAAGAATTTGTCAAAGCGTTTGCTGTATTCTAAGTATCCAACGATTCGTAATTATTTCACTTTTTCGTACACAATTTTAAACTAATTGTTAATATTAAATATTGTTAAAATAATGGTAGAATTCGTGTCATTTTCAGATACAGAACGTAGAAATCACCGGATCCAAATAAATAGTGTTAAACGCAGTAAACTCTCTCCTATAAAACAGTTAGGTAAAAGCATGAGTGACTACGTCATATTCGTGATGCAGACCATAATAACTAATTAGCAGAGATGTACGTACAGGAATTTATTGCAGTTTATAGACATAACTTTGTCTTAATGGATAGGTTATGGATTTACTGTCTTTTAGCTGAAGAATTTTCATCGCTCGGCATATAATCGAAAAAGGAAATTTGAAAATTTATTGTTTTAAGATTGCTTTCTTAAAGGAATTAGGAAGCAGTCGATTACTAATTACACGTGCATTTTATCTATGAATTTTATTTAGGTATCAATCGATAATTGATTATCACTTATCTTATAGAGTTCTCAGTATAAAATTTACTAGAATTGATTTAATTAATTTTGTTTGTACGAAGTATATTATGTATTTTATCTAAATCTCGTAAATTTTCTAAATTGTTAGCTAATGTAGAAAACGTAAGTTATATAATGGCGATGCTTAGTATAATTGACGAAAAATGACAATAACACGTGGAAATTAGTGATGTAACGAATATTCGTTTTACTATTCGGTATTTGGTTTATTTTTCGCTATTCGGCCGAATACCGAATACCTAAAAACAAGAGTAAGAAATAACAAAAATCACAGTAAATTAATCATTTCGGTACTTAGATTTAATGTTATCGGGTTAGTGTTGTTTGTTGATATGTATTTATAACTTATAACATGCACAAAATAAAAAAGAACATAATATTAGTCAGTTGTATTCACAATTTATAATTACAAAGATCAGCACAGTACACACCTATTCGTTCGAGAATCGTCGCACAACTGAGGGTCTGACCCTGCTTATCCTTCTTTTTAGACGCTCGTCTTTGCTCTTTCCTTTGTCTTTCCTCTGTCGCTCTAGTCCAGTCATACCTATACATACATCATAATACGCCCTCACGATACTTTCGATTCGTCACTTTTCCGTCGCAGTTTTCCCATTTTACAATTACGTGACTTATAACCTGGTGATAACAGAGAAAAGAGATAGATAGGACGTCGTTATAAGTCACAGTTATGATTTCACAGATTCGAAACAGCTTGGTAGCCCGAACAGACAAACAGACAGACAGACAGACAAAATAAACTTTATTATGCCCGACACCGCTAGGCACAGTCGGGATGAATATATACAGTGTGTACATAGAGGTGACATGCCGAGCAGTAAAACCGACAGTGAGCGTAAAAGAAAAGAAATCAAAATACACGTAGATATAAAATCCTGATGTCAGGAGTCATGCGGTAAATAAAAGTGAGGAAAAACGTTTATCAATGTATTAATGTTCTGTTAAAGTAAAGCTTGACCATCCTTTGAAAAAGGGAAAAGTACTTTTTACTCGACACTAAAACTTCCAGCTTACACGGCCAATTGAGATTATCTTCTTCCACGTAAAGTTTGAGCTCGTTCCTTATGTCTTCCAGCAGTGGGCAAGACAAAAGATAATGCCTTACTCCATCACGCACATCGCAGTTTGGACAGCAGTCAGTGTCGCCGTGTAAAAACCGATATAAGTATACATTGAATTTACCATGTTCTGAGAGCAGCTGTGACATCTGGTGTTGAGGGTGGACCCATTTCAAGCTGAGGCGTCTTGCTACGTCTGGGAAGAACTGCCGGGAAATGTGCTGCTCTGGGATACGCTCACATTCTTGTTGCCACACTACAATTGTATGCTGCCAAAGGAGCTGTTTTAACCTGGAGACCGGTAAATGGCTGTACACTGGGTTGATGTCCCTGAAGGAAGTAGCCACACGTGCGAGGAAGTCTGCACGTTCCTTACCTGGAGTGCCGCAGTGCCCCTTAATCCATTTGATATGATAATTATTACTGGACTGATCTGCAGAGAACAAAGTGTCCCTAGCAAGGGGATGAGTGGTATCTTTGTTAGTCAAGACTTGGACCGTGGCCTGGCTGTCAGTGAAAATAGTAATATTGTAGTTGCTGAAATTTTTATTACAGAATTCTATTGCTTTAAAGACGGCAAACATTTCTGCCTGAAACACTGAGCACTCCGGGTGCAGGGGAAAGCTGTCGTGATGAAATTCCTCATTATCGACATAAACAACAAAAGCACTTGCGGTGCCTTGCGCAGTCTTGGAGCCATCGGTAAAAACTTCGATGCTGGTAGCACAGTCATGAGCCCCAAGACCTCTTCTGAGTGCAGGATGCGGGAGGTCTGCAAAAGGTCTACTTATTTCGTAACAGGATGCATCATAGACGTTGCCCGAGATGGTAATACATTTACCACGGGAAAGAAGAAATCTGCCTGTACAGTACTGGATCTGCTGCAGGATGGGGAGCTTCCCGGCAAGCACAGGAAGAGCAGCGTTAGACACGGTGGAATAACTTCTAGTCAGACGCAGGAGCGCCAGACGTTGTGCTGTTCTGAGACGCCGATGATTATGGGAATGGAAGGCAGCCTCTCCCCATACAGCAGAAGCATAACAAATAGTGGGCAAAAACACGCAGTCATAGATGGCATTGACAGCTACATGATCAAGACCCCATCTGTTCCTGGCAACTCGGAGCAGATTATTAAAAACAAGGTTGGAACGGTTAGATACGTGCATAATGTGTTTCTTCC